TTTGGGGACCCTCCTGTCTCCACCTCCCCAGTGCTGAGATTATAGGCATACATCACCACACCTGGCTGGAGACATAAATGACTTCTAGGTTAAGAGCATGGCTGCTCTTGTAGAGGACCCGAGTTCATTTCCCAACACCTGCCTTGGGTGGCTCACGGCTGTAACTCCAGCTCCAGTGGGATGGGGGCTCTGGGATCTGTAGGCATCTGTACTCATCTGCACACACACACACACACACACACACACACACACACACACACACAAATCTTTTTGAAAAAGAACGAAGCAGAAAGCAGAGGCAGGCAGATCTCTGTGAGTTCAAGGCCATCCTGGTCTACAGAGGAGTTCCAGGACAGGCTCCAAAGCCATACAGAGAAGCCCTGTCTCAAAAAAAAAAAAAAGAAGAAGAAGAGGAGGAGGAGGAGGAGGAGGAGGAGGAGGAGGAGGAAACCAGACTTTATTTCACAATCTCAGGATACAGTTTATCATTACAGGGATAAGACGACTGTAGCAACTCCAGGCAGATGTCACATTGTATCTACCCCGGGCTTGCTGCACACCACATTCTTGACATATTTGAAAGTGTCTTCATTTATGATTTTCTTGGCACAATCAGGGGTCTTCTCCAGGAAAGAACATGATGACTTGGTGATCAACTGCTCACCTGACCTTGCCTTTTCCTGTTACTGTTTTGAAGTTTTTCTGCTCCAGAGATCTCGCCAAACATCATTTTACTTTATATTGTTTTTAGTGTTTCATGATGTAGTCCAGGCTGACCTCAAACTCATGATCTTCCTGCCTCAGCTTCCTGAGTCCTTGAACTACAGGGCTACACAAAGAAACCCTACCTCAAAACAAATAAAAAAAGTAAGGTATGATGGATACCTGTAGTTCAAGGACTCAAAAAAAGCTGGCCTAGTCCTACCTAATCTTAAACCCTGTCTCTATTGACAATGGCTGCCCCCTCCCACTCAGGGTCTCTATCCTCACCCAGGGAGTATAGACCTGTGGTCTAACGGATTAGAGCACTTAACCACAGCTGACTTAGTACCACCGACCACTCAGACTGACCCACGCTCTCAGCAAAGGGCTGCATACCCACAGGTTGGACCTAGGCTTGTCTCCCTGGATCCACCCCAAACCAGCGAAACTCGGCACATCTGCCAGCGAGGATTCCCCACACACACTAAGAAAGGAGCTGCGCACTCCACAGCTGCTGACGCTATCCACCCTTCCCCACACGCATGCAGAGAGGTCACAAGGAAAGGTTGCAGCTGGTCTCCACAGGATTGTACACCACAGACTGCGTGGCATGTCCACAGGCAGCAGGGAAGCAAACAGCCTCTTTATAAAAACATCCATTGTACAATTAGGCTCAGCGAAGATGGAAAGTCACGTCTCTGTGTCTTTGCTGAAACCAGACCGTGGAGGTGTCGGCTGAGCAGGGCTTGGGAAAATTGAGTTAGGCTCAGGTATCTACATCTTGCTCTGCAGTGGACTTCACGGAGGTTCCTAGGCAGTTAGGGCACCCTTCCACACTCTATGATCAATGGAAATCATTGAGATCAAAAAAGGTGACAGATGCCATCAGGACTGTGTGAAGCACACCTGGGGCAAGTAAGAGCCAGTATATTGTCAGGGTCAGGAAGGGGCTTCAGTACCTCAATTACCAGCCAATGGCTCTGAGTACTTCCGCAAGAAGAGTGAAGCTTGTGTTTGGCGCAAAATCCGCAGCATATCAAATCCACATGGCTACTGTGGCTGGGCGGGGGCCCCGCTCAGCGACAGTAGCTAGACATCGGTGTGGGCTTCAAAGCAGAGGATTTCCCTGTGGCCTGACCAGGCCCGATAGACAATGCCTGCAGATCCCTGATCAGCCAGGGCTCTGAGGGATGGTGAAGACTCAGGGCTAAGGGCACAAGGAGGTGGCTCTATAAAGCCCCAATTTTCCAAACCACGAGTGGAGACAGAAATATGAGAAGCATGTGCAGCACTAAGTGCTCTCAGCCTCAGCCCATCGACCCCCTGGACGGACTTCAGATAAATTGCACAGCGGCCCACAGGCTCTGTAGTGGGAAGCTTGTTTTTCTTCTTTCTGACCAAAAGCAGATTTGCTGACAGATTAGCAGGGGGCTGGGGTGACAGGGAGGTCACCCAGGAGTGCAGAGCTGTGTGGAGTCTGTAATCATGCTAATGAGGTTCCTGAGAGTTGAAAGGGAGGCTAGTCCAGGAGGAGACCCTGGGACTGGCTGGCGGGGCAGTAGCTTCCGTTTGACTCCCAGGAGGAAGCCCTTTACTGTGCACCTGTGGATACTTAGGCACGGAGCATATGTGAATGAGAATTCGGAGTCCTGCTGGGACCCAATCCTTCTCCCTGCTCCTCTCAAGAATAAGGTCACCGAGCTGGGCATTGGTGGTGCACGCCTCTAATCCCAGCACTCGGGAGGCAGAGGCAGGCAGATCTCTGTAAATTCGAGACCAGCCTGGACTAGCAAGCGAGTTCCAGGACAGCCTCCAAAGCCACAGAGAAACCCTGTCTCAAAAAACCAAAAAAAAAAAAAAAAAAAAAAAAAAAAAGAATATGGTCACCGGCCCACACACCATAAAATGCATCATCTCACCTTGACTGGGCACACGGTCCATGGCAGTAGGTACATGCGTTCTGTCATACACCATCATCCCCTCTCATAGGGTGTTTGTGTTACTTAGTTGTGTGGTTTTTATTTTGTTTTTAGACAGGGTCTCACTTCTGACTGGTCTGGAATTGCAGTGACCTACTCTGTTTAGGAGGTCTGCGTCATCACACTTACTTTTTTTGCATAAAAAATCCTTTATTTACAGTTCAAAATTTAAACAAGATGTTGGTTCTGATCTGTGATACTTCCAGGTCTTGGATCACACATTGTGGAGGCAGGGAACCAAACACAGAGGCCAGTGCAGCTTATCAGACACAAGGGAGAGCGCCATCCCAAACCTGGTTCAGTCTTGGTCTAGAATGCATCTTCCCATGCTGCATCACAATTATTTTTTTGCATTTACGTATGTACAGTGAAGGTAGCAGATAAGGTTGTGTTTATTTCATAGAGTAAGAACAGGCCAGCATAGGCTTTTGATTTTTTCCAAGTTCATGCCAAATATGCCAATATATGCAAAGTGTAGGGCAAAGGATGTGAATCTTGCCTGCTGTGGAACCTTAAGCAAGTGACTTGTCTGACTCTGTACCACTCTCATTTGTCCGGGATGATAATAAGCACTGGAGCTATTGTATATGTTAAGTAATGTTGCATGAGTCATATCTACCTCAGAGCCTGGTATAAAATAAGTGCTCAATAAATGCCAGCGGGGCTCTGCCCTCCTCAGAGGTGTTGGTGGGGGTGGACAGTTGTGGCAGGGGAATCTGGCTTGCAAGGACAGGGCCCTGGCCTCCTCCAGGAAGGCCTTTCTGGCAGATGTGCTCACCGATGGAGACAAGCTGGCTGAGCTCTCTCCTACAGAGAAGTCCGCTGCTGTGACTGAGAAAAGAAACACTCAGGCTTGCCTCCAAACAAACTCCCTTCCCAACGGGAAGCAGAACACAGGGGAAGGTATGTGCTCTGTGTTTCAGTAGATTCTTCAGGTTCTTGGCCTGAGTCTCACAGGGATGGAGAATCGACTTGGGGCCTCTCAGTTCACACAGCTTTGGTGACTTCTCAGTGGTTTGCAGTGAAAAAGTCTTGGGGACACACATTCTTTCTGGGAACTCATGGCAGAAGGTGACTCTGTTTCTCTGCCAAGCCCAGAAAGAGCATAATAAGAGCATAATGATGTTTGTTCTACCTAGAACAATCCTCTATTATCCGGGGATGACTCGGTGCCCTCCCAGTACACTTCTGGGGGTCACTCATCTTTGCCCCCGACCAGCTCCTGGTGAAGCACCATGCTGGGTGAAGTGAGTGATCTTTTTTTTTTTTTCTGGTTTTTGAGACAGGGTTTCTCTGTATTGTTTTTGGAGGCTGTCCTAGAACTCGCTCTGTAGACCAGGCTGGCCTCGAACTCACAGAGATCCGCCTGCCTCTGCCTCCCGAGTGCTGGGATTAAAGGCGTGTGCCACCAACGCCCGGCGAAGTGAGTGATCTTTAATGGCATTGTTTTTTTCTTCGTTTCTTTCACTGTGGGGAGGTAGAGATGGAGATGGTGCAGGAGAGGTGGGAGACACTGGGCTGGGGGGGCTTTGGTCTGCAGGCCGAGGCAAGTAAGTAACCCGGGCCACCATTACGTCTGGGAAGCTCCCCTCCAGGAACTTTTCAGTTTTCACTGGGGAGCTCGGTTGAACAACCACTGGCCTTCGAGGGTGTGGACTCTTACCAGAGACCCCCTGCCTAGGTGCACGAGTATCTTTCCTGGACAGGCTGCTCTCTCCTTCCATTTCTAGGAACATACTCTCCAGATTTATACCCAGCCCCAAGGCGGGCTTGATGTCTTGCAGCGACCTTGTCCCCAGGGAAGCTCCGTATATTGGCACCTGGAGCAGCACGAAGGAAGGCGGAGTGATACTTTGCAGAGCAGACCTTGCCTGGTGCCCCTGACCCCGAACTTCTTTCTGGTCTTGGTTCAATGCATTCCAGAGCCCTGACTCCGCCCCTCCTCTAGCACCTGGCCCTGCCCCTCTCCACATCAGCCCCACCTCTCTCCCCCTGGGCCCCGCACCACTCTTTCCCCGGCTCGCCTCTTCTCCCCGCCCAGCCTACCCCTCTTTTCTCCGGTCCCGCCCCTCGCCCCCCTCTTCCCCAGCCCCCCAACTCTCCGCCCCTCCTCTAGGGTAGGGTCCCAGGCAGAGGAAAACGCCCAGGCTGTGTCCTGCTCTCGGGCGCCCTCTTGTGGCCCTGGGCCTGGGGCTGCAGCCGTTCTAGCTAGGCTTTGAGAGCGGAGCGGGTTGGCTTCGCTCCACCAGGCTTCCACCTGCCGGGGTGGGGTCCCCAGCCTGTGAGTGACCCAGAAAGGACTCCGAGGCCGGCCAGCACTCCGCTTTCAGGATCTTTATTGCCTCCGTGGGCCGCACGTCCCCAGGAGGGACTAGAAGAAGTTGAGCACCCTGCGGAGCGACTGCACTCGCGCGCTGTGGGCTTCCCAGTCGGAGAAGCTGCGGAAGTCGCCCCTCTCCACCACGTACATGCGGCCGCGGTAGTTGGGCTCCTCGTAGAGGACCCACCTGAGAGCCAGGGGAACCGCAGGTCAGTGGGGTAGGACAGAAAGGGGACTGCCCACTAACTGACAAGGACGGGAATGCACTCTGCCCAGTCACGCTCCAAAGGGCCATTTGCACACAGGACTACCGACGTAAACTACCGACGTATCCACTTGGCCAACAGCCCTAGTAGGGCCTGTGCTCCAGTGCAAGCGGTCTGTGCTGCCTGCATTGCACAGAGGAGCTGTAACCTCCAGGACATGAGGTCTAGCAAGGGCACCCTCCGTGGGTGGTGTGTGCGCACCATACCTCTGGCCATTTACAGCCCAGGGGTTGTGGTGAAGGTGAAGTACACCATGGCCCAGGGAATGGGGAAGACTGATGGAGACGATCAGGAGGCTGGTCTCTGCCTGGGAACAAGTGTAAGGAAGAGATCCTCCTCAGCGTCTAGACCGGCCCTACCCATCTTGTAGCCATCCCCGAGACAAGTGTAGGGCTGTGCGTGTGGGGCCCAGGGAAAGACGCCATGTGTACCCTCCCACTTGGGGCAGGTTTGGAGGCGGGGCTAGGAGAGCTTTAGAAAGTTGGAGAGGGGCCTCCAGGCGGCACCGTGGTCAGTGGCTGGCCTTGCATTTCACTTCAGTCTTTAGCTCGGGCTCTCCTTCCCCCTCTTTCACCACGGTAGAAAACAGCTTTACTCTGGGCCACGTGATCTCATGAAGCAGGGCCCCCTGGGCTGTTCAGACCTCTTGAGATTCTTGAGACCCATGTCACAGGACTACTTGGACTTCTCTTAGTGGGGATCCCTCTCTCCCCCAGTTTGTCTTAGCAGTTCGTGCTCGCTGCTCCCAAAAGACGCAGCCATTCAGAGAGTGTTCTTTCCGGGGAACAAACACACTGGGAATCTGTGAGCCCAAGGTTCTGAACTAAAGAGAAGGAGAGAGACTACTAAAGGCCACACAGCCAGGTTCCCCGCGGCGGCTCTCCACTCCCAAATCATCACAGGCCCCTCCCTTCCTAACCTGACCCTCCGCTGATAAATGGCACAGTCTGGCTGCTGGGGTTGGAGACTGAGGAGGGGGAGGTGCTGTGGGGACATTCTGGAGACCGGAGCAGGCCGGGGTCGCCTAGCTTTCTTAAAACCACAGCCCCCTCCCTCGGGTCTAACCCTGCCCTGTTCTGTAGAGCCTTGAGCCACCTTGGAGCTCTTGTGGACATCCCGAAAGGACGAGGGAGCTGACTGGGCATGACAGCTAATTCTCTGGCCCTCACCTGCAGCTCCTGGGGGAAAGCGACAGAGCAAGGGGTCTCCTGAGAGCTGACTCACTGGTTAAGAACACTGGCTGTTCTCCCAGAGGACTCAGGTACAATTCTCAGCACCCACATGGCAATTCAGAACTGTCTAACTCCAGGTTCAGGGGATTCGATGCCCTCTTCAGACCTCTGTGGTCACCAGGCAGACACGTGGTGCCCAGACATGCGTGCAGGCAAAACACATTATAAAATGAAAATAATTTTTAAGATTTGAAAAGGGGGAGTTCATGCCAGCTCAATCTGTTAGAATGTTGGGAGAACGTCCCTGCTTTTCCCTCACATGCCCTCTAGGGCAGAGATATGAGGGACAATTTACTCTTGAGCTGGCATGGAACCCAGAAGGAATGTTTTTGGCACACAGGAGGTGGTAAAGGGTCCCTGCTTCACTGCCTGCCAGATCCCAGAGAGGGCTCCTGGGACCTAAGGCATCACCACTTGGGAAACCGGACAAGGTTTCATGTCACAGAAGAATTAAGGTCACCGAAGACAAAAGACAAGCACATCTTGGACCCCAACACAGAAGCCCACCATCTTGTCCCCCACCTCGTGACCACTACTGAGCCTGGCTCTTCCCAGGAAAGTGGGCATTAAAGATTATGTGCCCCAAGCCTGGCTGTGGTGGTGCAAGCCTTAAATCCCAAAACTTGGGAGGCAGAGGCAGGCGGGTCTCTTGAGTTTGAGGCCAAAAGAATGAGCTCCAGGATAGCCATGGCTACACAGAGAAACACTGTCTCAGAAGATAAAACAAAACAAACAAACAAACCAAAACCAAACCAAACAAAAACCCCTCCAATCACAATCAGAGTTCACACTCCTGCCTTCCCTCTCCCTTGATCCCCAGGGTTGGCAGGGGGATTGTGTCTTGGGTCTTAGGACATCTTCCACACAGATGTGATGAGACACAAGACAAGTTGTTTTGTGCTCCTACCCTGGACTTGCAGGTATCCTCAGCTTAGGGGAGCCAAGGTCAGAGATGTGGGAGAAATGATGACTGCAGCTCTGCTTGGAGCACACTTTGCTTCAGCTTGTGTTTCTGTAAAATGGGGATGACATCTCCAGAATGGGCAGAAACCCAGTGAGGTGTGCCTGTATGTGTCCAATGTACAGATTCTCAGGGAGCCCCATGTGGCAAGCTCTGGGCTCTTACAGCCGGTTTGGCCTGGGGAAGACAGGCAAAATTCCCCTGCGTTTATCCATCCTATGAGAGCTTCTTGAAGCCCACGTCTCCAAAAAGCTGGTGAGGGTTGTTTGCCAGCAGGCAGAGACATCTAAGTCTGGGGTCATCTGAGCTGGGAGATGTACCCCCTCAGAGCAGGTGGCACTGCTGCATAGCTTTGTACCCCCTAAGAGTAGGGGTCCTGCCAGGTAGTCTAGTTTCATGGTTTCCTAAGTGCTCCTTTGCCTGAGGCCCTGTGACCTTCCTGAAAGCCAGATGTGACAGGAGCTGTTCCCTGCTTGCCTGGAGCAGGTGAGGCAGATGAGGGCATGTGGATGGGGGCACCATGCCCACCCACGGCTCTGACACCTACCCGCCCTACCACGCCTGTCTGGCAGTCCCGCTGTACTCACGCTCCATCCCCATACACCTTGATGGCGTTGACACAGCTCTTGGCCCAGCCCCGGCTCTGCAGGAAGGGGCAGTCTTCCACGAACTCCAGGCACTGGCCTGTGAAGTTGCAGCCCTCGAAGATGTCTATTCGGAAATGTTCTCCGTGCTCCAGGACCCAGGCGGGGGGGGGAGAAAAGGAATACTCCAAGTCGTTCCTCCCCATGCACAGGTAGGATGGAATATGGAATGACTCCCAGCTCTGGGCTGCACTGAGATCCAGTGAGTACCCCCCACACACACACACTTTATTCCACAAGATGTGGTAGGAGAAAGGGTTCTATTACTCTAAAAACCTAAAGCACAGAAGTGGTCCAATCTCCACCTTTTATAACTAAGGACGCAAGGTCCAGTGAGGGCAAGGCTGTCTAGAGGCCAGCACTTTAAGACCAGAGCTGGAGGTCACTGGCTCCCTCTAGGCGTTCCACGTGGCGGATTCATGTCCCAGCATATCCATCCTCAGTTTCAGGCCACAGGCAGGCTTCCAAATGATAATATTTTAGAAGTGTAATAGAACCCTTTATGAAAACACTAAGCCAAGACATCTAAAACAATGATTCTCATTTGTTGAAGTCCCTGCTGGTTTCAACATCATAATTCACTAGCACCAGAGTATATCTCCCTGTGTAATCCCTTCCCCCAATGCCCAAAGCAGAGAGAAGGCCCCCTCTCCACTGGCCAGGTTCCTATGAAGCCTGGGAGAACTCTACAAGAACAGCCTTCAGAAAATGTCTTGTGTATTTTTCATATAAACAGCATTATGCAGGATCCAGAGCCAACCATTCTAATGTCTCTCTCCAAATGCCCACATCCTGGCAGAGACATTAGGAAAGCATTCTTCCAGTGGAATGCGCCAGAGCCCAACTGATTCTGGAGCAGATGTAGAAAAGAAAAGAGGCCCCATGCAGAGTGATGCCTATCCAGACTCCTCAGATGTTGGCCCGAACCTGGAGAGGCATCCAGGATGCCCTGGCAAGCCGACACTCTTATGAGAGCAGCCCACATTGGTTCCCAGGATCACCCAAAGGACAACACTCAGACCTGTGAACTGAGGACCTCACTCCTCAAATCCCACCCTAAGGAGTCTTGAGAGAAACTAGACAGAAAGGGTCTTTTTCTATGGGCAGCAATGCTCCTCCTTTGCTCTCCTTACACACTTCAGGCCACAGCTCTGCAAAACCATCATCTGTGCAAATCGAGAGCTCTGTCCCCCTCAGTTGTTCCCAAGTTCGGAGTGTTTAAGGCCTGCACAATGCTACCAGGGAACCTGCATGGGTAGATGCTCAGCTCAAGGCAGCCTTACCTTGTGTAAGTATGTGTTCGTGTACACAGGAACATACCCAGGCGCACGTGTGAGCATATGGAAGTCAGTGGGCAATGTTGGGTTTCTTCCACAATTAGTCTCCACCTTACTAAGAACTTTTGTCAGTGTGCTGTGCATGTATGTGTACATGCGTGTGTGTGGAGATCAGACAATACTGTGGAGTCTCTGCTCTCTCCTATCTTCACATGGGTTCACATTGGGGACCAAACTCAGGCTTGTATGCCTTGTCCATTATGCCCTCCACTTTATTTATTTTTTTTTTAGAGTCTCTCCCTGAACCAGAAGCTTCTAAATTTGGCCAGTCTAACTTGGTCAGCAAACCCCAGGGATTATGCTGTGCTGGGGTTACAAGTGAACCCTCACATCTGGTCAGCAAGCCTCAGGGGTTCTCCCCAGTGCTGGGATTACAAGTGAACCCTCACATCTGGTCAGCAAGCCTCAGGGGTTCTCCCCAGTGCTGGGGTTACAAGTGAACCCTCACATCTGGCTCTTCATGGGTTCTGGGGATCCACGCTGAGGTCCTCATACTTGCGCAGCAGAGACTTTACAAGCTGAGCTATGTCCCCAACCCTTCATTTTACTTTTGATGAGTGCATCCCTACTCAGTGGCAATGCAAACATATTTCCAGCCTTTGAAATTTAGCTACATGCTTGGTTCAGAAATCTAAAAGGATTCATTGGTAACTCCCAGGGGCTTTTGTGTTCTGTCTCCTACAGCATCTCATACTCACACTAGTGAGTCTGGACAGGGCTCTCTCAATTCTTAAGGTTTTATTGTTGGGAGGCGCCCTGACTGAATGCCAGGGCGACCTTCTGCTGCCTGAGCTGGAAGCTCCCAGTCCCCAGATGGAGTGACTCACTCACCATGCCCACAGGCCGACAGGAGCCCATGTGGTCATTGTGGCCATTCCAGCGGAAGAATTCAGGGTAGTCACCATGCTCCAGGATGAACTGCTGGCCTCGGAAGTCAGGGTGATCAAAGCAGACCCAGGCACCACTCTCCACACGTATGGAGTTCACTCGGTTCATAAAACCTCGGTCCTGGAAGTTGTCACAGTTCCCAAAGACTTCCAGCTTCTGCCCTGTGAAGTGCTTGCCCTCATAGAGAGTGATCTGGAAAAGCCAGATGAGAGCTTGGGGTCAGGGTCCCATCTGACCTATACACACACACACACACACACACACACACACACACACACACACACAGGCATGGGTGTACTCAGCATTTGTTTTGTTATATTTAACACTCATAATGCATTAAAGGACATGTTTTTTAAGGTGTGAATGTCATGCATAAACAGTTGTCATAATTCAACATTGATTTTTCAAAAAGTGAAGTTCCTAATACTGAAATTCTGGTCACTCAATAACTCTTTGGTCTCAGAAAGAGTCTGAGTCAGCAGCTTCTCTGCATCTGTGCCCCACATAGTCAGTGGAACCCAGACCTGCATCCCTGCTCATTGCAGTAGATGCCTGTCACTATTTGCTGATGGGGCAGAGAGTGAATGCGCATTAGCCAGCAGGCTGATGCCAGACACGGCTCCACTGGGCTCTCCGTGGAGCCGACACAGGGTCCAGCTATCTAGGTGCCCACTTGAAATAGGTTATTTTCAGACTGTCACTGTATTTGTTAAACTCAGCACTTGCTTGTCTTATATATAACACTCACAATAGCATTAAAGGAAATGTTTTCTGAAAGCATAAATACCATGGGGAATACCCTCTGCCTCCCGAGTGCTGGGATTAAAGGCGTGCACCACTACCACACCCGGCCTCAGCATTTATTTTTCAGAGAGTGAAGTTTCTAATGCTGGAACTCCTCAACTGGAGGGGAGGAATCTGTGGAAGCAGGGTTTTTAGGAGAGATCTAAATGTCACGTATCTCTTTGCCTTTTCTGCCCCCATTCCCAGGGCCCTGCTTTTTTTTTTTTTTTTGAGACGGGAACTTAATTATCCCAGACCAGCCTTGAACTTACTATGTGGCTAGGGATGACTTTAAGCTTCTGATCCTTCTGCCTCCACTTCCTGAGTGCTGAGAATACAGCCAAGACCTCCACGCCTGGTCTATGCAGGGCTGGGGTGGACCCCAGAGCTTTATGCCTGTTAGACAAGCACTCTAGCAACTGAGCTGTAGACTCGGAGCTTTCTTTTTCCTGTGCTCTGAGTAATAGACAGGTGTCAGACTTTATGGACCTCTTGGCAGTTCAGGCATAGTGTCCCGTAGTAATAGACAACTTACAGTAATACTGCCAGGTTGCCATTGTACCAAACTAAACAGGCGAAGCAACGGTAGCCTACAAATTCACTTCCCACCATAGGAAATCCAATCACTCAATAACTCTTTGGGACTCAAGCACTATGGTCTCAAGGACTCTTATAGGAATGAGGTCATACCACCCAGAAACTGTGCTCACTCTGGTTTCACTAATGTTTCCCCCTTTTCCAGAGGAATACAGTGGCAAGTCCCTGTCCCTTGAGTTAAGGTGTTTTGTGGGATGGATGTTGGTGAGCCAGAGCAACACTGATTTGGGGTTCTTCCTTTTCTGCTCTGCCATGCTGGTGCTCTTTGTCACTGAAGCACTTGGCAGTCCATGCAGACAGATCAAGGTGTCCACCAGGCGTGCTGGGAGCGTCTGGAGGCCAGAGAGGTCCTGGAGCAGCCAGGACCTGGACACTAGAGGATGGCAAGGGAGAACCACATTGGTGGGTGCCCTTCCTGCATAAGGCAGGTCTGGTTAGGGCCTCTGGGAAATCCTGGGAGATCTCAGCATTCAAAGGGTTTGGAGGTTCCCTTCGATCTCCACAAGTTCAAAGCACCAGCCTCAAGTCACATGGGGTGAAAAGATCCCGGGGAGGAGGAAAGGGGGGACAAAAACACATTTTGGGCACTCTGTAGTGAAGAAAAGACTGCAGGAGATCCTCGACCATAGGGACCATCAGAGATTCACCACTCAGCAGCATCCGGCCTGACGACGCCCCTCCTGACTAGGGGATCCCATAAAAGAGGGCTGGGGACAGAGCGACCTTTCTACTCCTCGCACTCAGCCAACAGGAGGAGGTCGCTCCTTCTCATTCAGAAATAAAGCCAACTTTGCTTGACTTTGCCAAACCCAAAGAGCATCTGGGATCAGTATGCACCTGCCCCGCCCCCACGCGCAGGGGTCCCCTAAGCCGCTGGCCGCACTCACCTTCCCCGAGCACTGCGCCATGGTGTGTCGCTGGCCGCAGCGGGACCCAGTATATACTCTGTGGCGCCTGCTGGCTCAGCGCCGCCAGGGACAAAAGATTTGCTTGGCCCGGCACCCGCGCGTTAGTGCTGTCGAGCATGCTAAGCCGGCGCCATGACCTTCCCGCCGACCCAGTGTCACACACAAGTGACCTAGTCCTCCAGTGCCTCTGGATCCGACCCCTCCTGCCCTGACCACCATTGCCCCGCTGAGTCAGGGCAGCAGCCGTCTTGGGAGGATCCCCTCAACCCCTTGTTTCGCCCCCCAGAGCTGTGGCTCAGTGTTTCTGCCCTGCACCGTTCATCTTTCTCACCTGGCTGCAGGCTAACACGGTATCGACTTTTCATTTATTTGTTTATTTATATGGATAACGGATGGAGTTCTAACTTCCCAAGCTTACCTGGGGGCGGGGCAACAATAGCCCTGTGTACTTCTTTACCTGATGCTGGGTACGGGTGGGTTCCCAGACTGTTCCTTCAGGCACTTACACCCCGCCCCCCAAGATCCCAGGTGACACCGGCCTTGACTCCTGCTGCCTGCAGTAGGAAACCTATGGTATTCTGAGTCCAACTGGTCAGTACCGGAGCCCTAACTATAGACCACCCTGGATGTCAAGGATCTGTTTACAGACTAATACACCAACCGTGCGGGGTGTAGGAATTTGCCAGGCCCACAGGTACTTGGAGTTTATTACTGAAGCCTCAAGAGCAAACACACAAACTGCTGGGAAACTGAGTTAGTGGTCCTAGGAACCGCTCTAGGATCAAAGGAGAGGGAAGTGAGGGTGTGGGGGGGTCTGAAGAGGTGCAGATGAGCCGAAGGGGGCTTCTCGGGAATAGTTTTGTGGGACACTCTGCTTCCATTCACCAGTACTGTACAGATAACCTTGCTCTGGGAAGTTACCTAAGGCAGTCAGGGAACCACACCATCACCCGGTGACACCGGCTCACACTCTCCCTATGGCCTTCACCAGCACCCATGCTCCCAAGCGCACCTCACTGTGTCTGTCTGTCTTTTATGCTTCAAGGCATAAAATTAGAGTAGTATTCTGCCAATCTAGAAGAAGGGTGTGTGTGTGTGTGTGTGTGTGTGTGTGTGTGTGAGAGAGAGAGAGAGAGAGAGAGAGAGAGAGAGAGAGAGAGAGAGAGAGAGAGAGAGAAATCTTACACTGTCTGGACAGTCCAATAATGGCTGCCTACCTATTGGCTGTTCAGCTTTTTATTAAATCAATCTTCACAGTGTACAAAGATTTTCACCGTTTTTGCCTAAATAAAAATGAAAAAAGGTTTTAATTCTATCACAATAAAACTGTATAAATAAGAACAATTATCAAGTAAGAATTGCATTTACAATGCAACTGTATTTGGCATATTTGGAGAAAATACCCCATTATTCATTCTAACTTGATGAGTCCAAAGCTCTGTACCTAGTTTCTCTTCTCTCATAACTAAGGAAAACTGCAACTGTAACTACCTAGTTTTCAACTCCATCAAAGACTCCAGAAGGATATAATATCTGAGTAAATAGGAAGTTCAGTGCAAGCTACTTCCAAACCTATAGAAACGACAGACCTCTGGATGCTGGGACAGAAACCCATGCTTCCTTTGTAATGTTGGGGTATCCAATCTTTAGCCTACAGGCCTAGAGTGTCTGGCAGACTCTTTTACTGTTTTATGAAGCAGGAATTTTGAAGTAACGTCCCACCTTGGTTTGGCAAAGTTCAGCAGTCACTTTCCTGTGTGTTCCATGGAATGTCTGGCAGACTTTTCTATAAAGGACTGTCCCACTTTACCTTGGTGAAGTTAGACAGTCTTTTTTTTTTTAATTTGTGTCCTGCTTGACCAGCATACTGTCAGTAGTCAAGGCAAGAGCAGTTTCTTACCCAAATAGCTAGTTTTGCCACAATGAAAGCAAACTCCATATGAAGGCTCTTCAATACCCATCGTCCTTTTATGAAGTAAATTGGTGCTCCCAGGAGTAGATGTGTCTCACTGTCATGAAAAGTCTTATTATAACATTTTAAATGTCACATTCTGCAGGTCTTTGGAGTGTTTCAAGATCACCTATCTGTCTAAAATATATCTCTGTTTGACCTAAAAAAGCACACCTACTGTAACTATAAGTTTGATTGCTATAGGTGACTAACTACTAACTTGTATTTCATTATTCTCATAAATAGTAATAATAACTTTCAAGGAATAGAAATTTATATTACATTGTTAAATGAGCTGCACAGGTAGCCTTAAACAAGAGTAGAAACACATGTGTAGTATATTCTGACAAAAATGACCTTAAATTTTTATCAACATACAAAATTTCATGCCAGTGGAAACTTTCAGAGTAGTGATTGTTTAGAAGTAGGCTTAGCAATCCACCCTTTTGTCTCATCATTTCTACATTGTATCCTCCCTTTTTCTCTCCAGAAAGAGATCCCTGAATCTAATCTCCTTTGCTCAGTATCCTCCCTGACTATGACCAATAAAAATTTGTAACCAAACCCCCTAAACAATGACAAATATCTATAACCCATCAATTCACCAAAAATCACCCACCCCATCTCTTGGGAATGTGGGTGTTGTGTTCTCTAGACTGCTTTCTGTTGTCTGGAAGTACTGACATCTTTGGGGGGCCCTGAGAAAAATAGGATAATGGTCAGGTCCTGGCTGAACTAGTCTGTGAGGCTGGACTATCTCAGTCAGCAGCCTTGAAGCTGTTTTGGATGCAGAACTCTGAGGATACTGCAACAAATGCACTGAGAGGCTGGACCACCTGGGCCACCCATTTTCATTAGTGTCTGGTCCTCTTCCTCTGAAAACACATAAACTTTCAAAAGGTATGTATGTATGTATGGACTATGTGTTGTACACAAGCCAGCCAAAGATGATTATTTGTTTTATGTTTGAGTAGGTAAAATATATGCCACCTGTCTTGTAGTTTTCTATGTTTATTTCTTTATGTCTTCAGCCAGGATTTTCAGGGGTTCTTCCCCAATCAAATCTGATATCTATCAACGCTGAGTAAATCCACAGCCTTTCATTTTCTATGGAAACAAAAGCATAATCTCGTCCCCAAAATAACATATTTCTTGACTTACATATTGAAGTTAAAACTTCTTTTTGGTTTTTCAGAACATATCTTTTTTTTTTTTTTTGGTTTTACGAGACTTTCAAGGCTGTCGAACTCACAGAGATGCGCCTGCCTCTACCTCCTGAGTGCTGGGATTAAAGGCGTGCGCCACCACTGCCCAGCCAGAACATATCTTTTTTTAACTTTACTTTTCTCTTTAAAGATTTTGTTATTTATAAACTATTTACAGATAGTTTATAAAGAAAAGCTGACTAGAAACAAGCCAAGTTAAGACCAGGCATTCATAAAAAAGAATAAGACTGTGTGATTTATTTGGAAGCTAGGTAGCAGGCTCCCCAAAGAGCCAAAGCATTAAAAACAAACAAACAAACAAACAAAACCCCCAACTACAAGCTCTCAAATCATGACATGGAAACTTAGTATTAATTATGAAAGCTAGGCCAATAATTTAGGCTTGTTTCTAACTAGACCTTATAACTTAAATTAACCTATTTCTATTAATTTATGTACTGCAACATGGCTCATGTATCATGGAAATATTAAGCTACACAAAGTAGGGATGTCCTATGATATTTTATTGAGGGAGAAGTCACTTACATGAGAAGCCAAGAAAGCCAAGAACCAAAGCTTGCTGCTCTCCAAGACTCAACCAGAACTCAAAGAGAGCAAGTCTCCTTCCCCTCAGCTCTTTTATCCCCTATGGTCTACTTACCTGTGACTACGGCCAAATGGGCATGGTCAGTGCTATGGGTATGTAAGATCTCTCCCTACAATTCCCCTTTTAGTCTAAAGAAAAGATTAGACTTAAAACAAAACTAAATTGTGTCAATATACAAAATGTCTCAAAAACAAACACATATAAAGCATATATACATAGAAGATGATAAACAAATTATAATCTACCTATATCCTATCCTAAGCTTATCTATTCCATCTAAACCCTAAACTTATCTGAAAGAGATACCCAAGTCTGAACACTTCCTTCCAATCCCAACCCTAAATAATTGAAAACTAACTCTAACAGGTGTAATGTCAACAGTAGGAAAAGGGGGCATAGGATTACTTCCTGCTGAAATGGGACGATGATAACCTCATGGGATACTGTAGGAAGAAAATATTAGTGTAGTTAAAGTCTCAAGCAGACTAGCTACAGCATTTGTACCCAGTCTCTGGCGGGAGATGCTTGATTGAAGTTCTTGGCTGAAGTTCTCATTTTGATTGAAGTTCTTGTCTGAGGCTCTGGCCAGAGTGTAGAAGGTGCACCATATCAGTTAATTAGTCTGGAGTTGTCTAGAGCGATGTAATCCCAAACCAGTTTCAGAGTGGTAATTTTCAGCTCAGATGCATCAAGTTGGATCACGTGGAATTGATGAAGTGGGGCCCCATTTTCTTTCCGGAGTGTTTAAAGATTGCTGTTAGAAAATTCTTTGTTCTCTGTGGAAAACGCAAATGTTAATGTCAATAAGGAAATTTCAACTTTTATACGTATGCATACCAGGAAAGGCAACAATAAGGAAGATAGTAAGTATGAGAAATTAGACTTTCTGAGAAAGAATGGAGTATAAGCAAATGACAGTCCATAGATTTTGTTTTCTTCTGTCTTACATCAATTGGCTCCTTGATACAATACAGAAACTCTGAATTTTATATTAACAACATGCTTGGATTTAGAGGAGGAGAGCCATATCCAACTCCAAAGCCAGCTTTGGTTTAAGTGAATTGGGACCAAAAGAGTATTAGGAAGTAAAGATAAATAGAGACATATTGACACCAAATATCAGATTCTTCTCTGTTTAATAGTTCTTTTGGCTACCCATCCTCTCTTCTTTGCGTATCCACATGTTCAGTATCTTCTCACTGTTTGGAGATGGATTTTCTTGTGAAGACAAGAACAAAACACTTCCCTTTCCTTTTGTGAGGTCTCGATTTAACTCGTGGAATATGACTTTGTGGATGAGCTGTCATCTTTCCTCCTCCCTAGGTTTCTC